TTATTATAACTTTGGTAAATAGTTCCTATATTACTGTGAAATGTGTTAATATTTTTTACAAATGATATAAGACTAATTAAAACTAACTAACTAGTCTTTTAATATGACTTCCTTTCTTCCTCAGTGCCTCGACAGCCCAGGGTGGGCTTTGACCTTCTAAAAAAGCCTTTTCCTGGCTAGCTTTCTCTTTGCTAGTGTTCTTCAATTCTTAGTTCTCAAAACCAGGAGATATTTTTCTAGGTCATCAATCCATCTAAGATTTGGCCTGCCCTTTCTTCGTGTGCCAATTGGTTGGGCATTAAAGACTTTTTTAGTGGTGCGGTTTTCATCCATTCTGACAATCTGACCTCCCCATTTAATTCATTGCGTTTTGATAAAGTTAACAATGTCGGATTCTTTATATGATTTATAGAGCTATAAATTTGATCTTCTTCTCCACGTTCCATTTTCCTGAATTCCTACAAAAACAAATCTTAAAATCTTCCTTTCATGAGGTTAACTAAGTTAAGAAAAATATACTCTTTTCCCTGTAACCTTAAATTTAAATAATTTAAATGTTCCATAATATAAGAAAGAGAAGCTTAGTTTCATAGCTAATCTTCATTCTCGAGTAGCAAGCACTCACCTGACAGTTCTTTGTTTTCTTACAGATATTGTAAGATTCGGGCTTCATCTAGTTCAAAAATCTCACGTGGAAAGCCAGCGTACATAACAAAAAGGATTATTCTCTATATCAGCGGTCGCCAAACTTTTTGACCTCATGGACCAGTAAATTTATAACTTAAAACCCGTGGGCCACTAATAGGATTTTTTTAAGTGTTAAATATATTTACGTATAAAAACAATTGTGATCTAAAAACACATAAAATGTTCCTAGTTAAAGAAGTGAAACTTTTAATTGTAACCAAATTATGAAAGCTTTATTAATAAACCATGATGAAATATAAATAAAACTTAAAACTGTAAAAACAAAACAATTAAACAATAGTTCAAGTATATCAAACTTTCAGCATCATACATTCCTAGTGTGATGGACGTTCCTACCTAATTGAAGTAAGATTATAGATATTTGGAACCAATGTTGTTACTACAAGACGGGAAACTGCTGTGTTTTTTTAAGCTGAGATCGGTACAATTTTTTAATGACTGTGACAGATGAAAAGGCCTTTACACATAAATAAGTTGCAGAGAATTGAATCAGAATTTTCATCGCCTGTTCACCTAGAAAAGGGTATTCACTTTTTATGGAAAACCTAAACTGAGATATTGATAAGGATGAATGATATTTAAATTTGTGAGAGTTTCATCGGAAGATAGGTCCATGAGGTTTTCTTTTAGATGCATGCTTAAATTATTATCCTGAATTTTTGCGGTACACAGATTTATTATTCACGTATAACAGTGCTTCTCAAAGATTCAATACTTGCGGCCCAATTTTCAATCATAATTTTCTTCGGGGCCCCCCCCCCCACACACACATAATAACAATGCATTGAATACAATAATATATAATGTACTTTGACGCTAAAACTACAATACTATCTTAATTATAAGCCATTCAAATTATCAAGATAAATATTAAATTTTGCATATGTTACTTTCAAATAATAGATATTTTATAAGTAAGTCATTTTTAAGTAATAGATATTTTAGGTAAATTATATATATACTTTTAAGTAATAAGAAAAGTATTATGTTGCTTTTCTTTTCTAATTTTTAAGTTGGAACAGATAACAATATAGTTGCGACTTGTATATATTTTATGTCAATGTATTACGTTTTGCTTCCTTTAAGTAAATTTTTATAATAATCTTTTATTCTCTACTTTTTGATTTGCTTGCGCCCCCTCGTAAGGCTATCACGCCTCCCTAGTGGGGCGCGCCCCACAGTTTGAGAAATACTGACATATAATAATGCAGCTACAGTAGTACGACTTATTTACCTGTGGCATTATTCTACAGACAGGCATTATCCTATAAAGTAGCGTTTTTATAACTTTTCATGTATTGTTATGAATTGAATTAGGTTTCAATCCATTTTAAAACATAACTTAAAGTAATGAATAAATATATTCCACATTTTTCTGGGGACCAGCGAAATTTTCTCGTGGACCACTAGTGGTCCACGGACCACCACTTTGGTGACCTTTTCTCTGTATGATAGTTTTCTATTGTAATTCACTTAACTGCATTAAAAATAAATTGAGTGTGTTTTTTAGTTTAAAATAACCGCATTTCAAGAAAATTTTAAAAAAATTTGTTAATTACTATTTTTTTTTCCAAATATTTGAATTTTTCAAGAAGTTTTAGTGTGCCACTTTTACATCTCCACCGTGACCTACTGTGGCACGTGTGTCGTGGGTTGGCCACCCCTGTACTATAGCATACTAGCAATATAAATTGAATTGCTCAAATGCTTCGAATTTAACTAGAGAAAAAATTTTAATTACATTAGATGCTGTTAAGTAAAATGTTGTTTTTTCTCTTATAAAAGAGTTGAAAAATTTATTTTTGACCAATATTCGTGAAGCGACTCTCTTAATCTGAATTTCTAAACTTTTTTACTTAACCACTTTACGAATTTTTTTCTTTTAATCATTTATCTGTGTTTAAATCGTGAAATTTCATTATTTGTCTGTATACGAAAGACATATTTCTGTCCCTTTCTTTAAAATATTAAAAATATCACAGTTCACCATTTCCTCCGAATTATAAATACTGATTTGTTGTAATTTTATTCATAAAATTTTTTTTAAATGATTATTAACATCGGTTTCTTAAAATGCATGTAAAAATTTATATCCCAGCTACTATCTTTGCTTACGTTTACTAAACAGAAACTATTACTAGCTAAACTTATGTCAGAATACCGCACAAAATATTATTTATTCGATGCCAAGGGGATTTAAAACCATCATTAAATCAGTAGAGCTATTTATACCATAATAAATCATTTTAATTTGCATAAATTATACTTTTTTTTTTTTTCATTTTCCTCGATGTGTATGCACACTTTATGATATGGGATTCTCATTAAATGAACTGTTATTATTTACAACTTAAAAGTGAACTTATTTTTTATAAATATGCATGTATACGTTTTGCATTTCAGTATAAAAATATTCACGTTTATATCTTTGAATAATTACCTAAAAGGGACATTTTTTCAGAAAATATGTTGACTTTTGTATCTGCGTGTCTTTTTTTTTTCTTTGTGCTTCATAACATTTGTGGCACAATTGTAAAACAGAAAAAAAATAATAGGCTTAAAATGCAAATGTTTTATTCAGTACAAAATAATAAAAATGTTCTAAGCGAATATAGAGAAATACATTGAGCACAAAAACGCTTAAAGGGATTGTGGACTTTCACAATATCAAATTTTGGTCAAAATTGCGATTTTGATTTTTTATACTAATAATGTTCCTTATAATTCATAGAATAAATCTGTCAAAGAATTTTGTCATTTTGATTAATAATTACTGAATTATTTTTTTTGTTGTACACTAATAAATGTTTAAAATGCACTTTGCTTAGTTCGTGAATTTTCCCTTTTCAATATTACATAAAATACACCTTGCGTTTCAAATTACATCTTATCTATTTGAAATTTTCACAATTTATGAAAGATGATATAATTCACAAATTTGTGCATTGGTTTTCTAAAATATTTAATGGATCATAATTTGTGTTGTTTTCCGTACCTTGAATGCGTAATAATTGGTGAAATATTTCATATAAGATAGAAAATTTGTCTTTTTTCATCAAATTTTATTCTTAATTTAAAATCCATGCACAGATATATTTTGTTGTAGTTCATCTATATATAAAACAAAAAATATGAACATATCTTAAGAACACATGTGCGAGGAGTATTTTTAAAACTAGTTTAAAATTTTATTTTCTTAAAAAAAATATCAGTTTATAACAGTTTTTTTTTTTTTTTTTAAGAAAATATAATCAAAATGTAAAATATAAGAATCACATTTACTATATTGATTCCATTTTCAATTAATAAAGCTAAAAATATAAGAAATTAGTTTTAATGGTCCGCCGTCCCCTTAACACGAAGTAATACAAAGGTCTCAACAAATTACTGTGTATTTTCATGCCTTTTTTTTCTCTTAAAGCGAACCGAAAATCACTTAACACGAAAAGATTTCACTTCTGCGAATGAACAATTTTCGGAAAAACCCAGAACAGCGTAGGTGAGATTTAAGAGGGATGTGAAATGAATGAGAGGTGGTTTCACATGTTCCTTAGAAAGGAGGTTAACTTGGTTTTGATATACCTTAGTGATACGAGCCAATTAGGTTTATCTAAGCAACTTTCATCCTCCACCCTTACAAACGCCACTCAAAAGCATTTCCTCTCTCGTCAGTTGACTTTGGTATTCCATGACATTGCAGTGTGAGTAAAAATCAGTGAGTTTAGTTTTTTTTTTTTTTTTTTCTATTTTAGAAGAATTTTCTCAAGAGCACAATGGCAAAGACTGCAACGTCACTTAAAATGAAGATGGAGATTCTTAAGGCTGTTGATCGAAAATAGAAGAAGAAAATGGAAATCTATAAGAATTTTGGTATTAATAACTGTATTATAAACAATAACTAAAAACAAGTAATATATAAAAAAAATTTTAGTCAATTCCTACTAAGGTAAAAAAAAAAGAAATTTTATTTCAGTTACTTTATATTAAATAGTTAAAATTAATATAAATATGTATATGCATATGACAAAATCGCAATATTAAGTAGCAAAATAGAAAGCGATGTGGTGTTGGACTAATTTTTTTGGCTACTATTTAGTCATCATTTAAATTTAATAACTCCTATAAAATACTATAGTAAAAAAAGAAACCATTTTCTCAGAAGTTAAGCCTTTCCTTTCTATGTATGGTGTTGGACTTTTTTTTCTGTTTGTTACTATTTATTCCTTAATTAAATATAATTATTTTAACAAAATATTATAGTAAAAAATGAAATCATTCTCAGAAATTAGGCCATCCTCAGGTGGGACTCAAACCCACAATCTTTGGATTAGAAGTCCAACTTGCTATCCATTTCGCTACAGGAACACAACAAAAGACATATAGTTTCTATACTTGATATTGGACTATTATTTTTGTGTGTTACTATTTATTCATTTTTTAATTTGATTAATGAATTAATATTTGAAAAAACTGTATTAACACCAATTGTCACTCGCTACAAGTTTAAAAAGATGTATTTCAATTTGAATGGATGAATATATATATATATATATAGGGAGAGTGAGCTAATAGTAGGAATTGAAAAAGAGAGCAAATTATGGAAATGTTTAAAAGGAGTAGATTTGAGCCAGAGTTCTAAGGAAATGAAATGTACTCTAATAAACTTAATTTTGTTCAATATATTTTTTTTGTTTGTGTAATAACCTTTAACAGGGAAAAAAATATTTCAGTCCCTTCAGTTTCATCTTAAGCCAGTGCTTCTCAAACTTGCAATGTTGGCGACTCAATTTTGTACTGAATTCAATAATGCTTTGATGCTAAAGCTACAATATGACTTTAATTATAAACTGTACAAATTATCAAGACAAGTATTAAATTGTGCATACAATTTTGTATGTGACAAGCCATTGGGGTCATTACTAATTATTCACCTTGTCCTTAACTTAATGTTGACTAATTAATGATCAAATACATAGTGCAGTACTGATACATTTATAAGTATACTATATTATTGTATAAATGTATTGTTTATCATCTTAGAATGTATTTTGCTCTAATTCCTTTCATTAAATTAATATTTTTAATTTTTTATTTTCGACGTTTTGATATTCTCGCCCCCTCCCCCCAGTAGGATTATCAAGCCTCTCTAGGGGGTGCGCCCCACAGTTTGAGAAACGCTATCTTAAGCAAATTTCACGGTATATTAATTTAATTTTTCTTGCTCGTTAATTTCATTTGTCTAAGATATTATTTTGTAAAACTCTATATGAGTAAATAATTCCTAATAACAATACATTTTTAAATATTACAAGTAAAAGAAAGATCTCTCTCTCTCTCTAAAGTTTTAGTAAGTGATCCATTCATGATATATTAAAAACAAAAAGCATTTTTACGAGAAGTAACAAATACTTCAAAAACAAATATTTATACAACATCATATATATTCAAGCAAAACAAATTTTAACAAGTATATTCAATTGAAAATAATTTCTTGTTAAAAAAAGGAATTCAAAATTTTCTTTTTAAGGATAATAAAACAGCTTATTCACAATCATTCCTGATATTTTTTTTAAAAAAAAGCAAAGCTTCGAAAATGATTTAATTAAAAAAAAAAGTACTGAATAAAATACACACATTTAATGTTTAATTTTCTTCCTTTCACAAAAAAATTACTAAGTCAAACACTATTGAATAAAACAAATATCCAATGAGAGAAGAATTAAAAATTGATATTCTCTTTTTTTTTAAAGAAAAAATGGCCTTTCAATTTTCTTAAAGTGCCTTGAATAAATGATTTAATTATTCAAAATGGAGGAGTAATAAGTGAATTTCGAAGCAGCGGAAGAGAAAAAAAATTGAAAGCATTAGACGCGTCATTATGTTTTAAACGTAAGCTTCAAATTAAATGCAGGAAATGGAATTATTTCCTTATATTTTTATTTTCAAGAGAACAGTTTTTACATCAAAAAATGATCAAAAAATTTATTTAAAAATTATCATTTGTATCTTTCTCTTACAAACGATGTTTTTTTTTTTCTAATGTTTTTTATTCAAAAGAATCTAATTTAAAAATTACTTTTTTCAGAACAGTTTGAAAAAATTATTCAAATTATAAGTTAACAGAACTTTCTTATTAATATGCTTTAATTAAAACTTTATCATTAATTTATTAACAGAACTTATTATATTCTTTTATAAAACTTTTTTATAGACACTTAAACGTCCACTACTTCTTGATTGTGCACGGACGCTTCCCTCGGTTCTTTTTTCAAAATAAAATAGTTTTATTTAAAATATATTTTTAGAGATTTATTTCATCTTTTCTTTAAAGTATCCGACTACGTTCGGAACCGTGATTTTAAAAAAGCACCTAAATGGATAATTCTCATGATATTTAGTGTCACTTAGATTATAATACATGTATAAAGTTATTTTAAGGACATTTTGACAAAAACAATTATTTAAATACAATATTTTGGCAAAAACTTAACTTAGAATAATCTTTTTTTCAAAACGTTCTCATTTTATAAAAAATGTTTCTATAATAATAATATTTGGGAATTATATAAAGTACAGACTTCTCCAGAGAAACTGAACTAGAATTTTTGAAAAATTCACATTAGTTTCAGAGTTACCACCAATTGAAATAATTATCGGCATTTTTTTCTTAAAATTGCTCCCCTCTCTTGTCATAAAATATGGATAAACGCACTTCTAAGTTATATATTTCAAAAATTCTAGTTGAGCCTCTGTGGAGAGGTCTGAGCTATATACAGACAAAATATTATTATAATAGAAGCATTTTTCACAAAAGGATAACACATTTTGAAAAAAGATTATTCTAAGTTAATATTTTGCCAAAATATTGTATTATATATAATTTTTTTTTTGTCAAAATCTCCTTAAAACAATTTTATACCTGTATTCTAATCTAAGTGACACTAAATATCATGAAAATTATCCATTTATGCGCTTTTGCAGAATCCCGGTTCCGTACCTAGTAGGATACCTTAAAGTTGTTTGGTAGCTATAATTATAAAAGTATGCAATATTTGTTCAAATATATCGTTTGCCATTGTTATAATTGTTTCTGTAACTCAATATTTCTAAAACTTTCACTATTTGCGACCCAATATTCAATAATTATTTTCATCGCACCCCCTCTATACAATAACAATGTACTAAATTCTTAATAATACTATACATTGACGGCTTCCTTGTGGCTTCCACATGTTGCCAAAGTTAATTTGGTGTAGCAGTGGGTTGTATATCCCGGAGCAGTCGTTGTGCAAGCATGGACCACACGTTTTCGATTGGCGATAGATCGGATGAACAAGCAGGATAAGAAAGCAATTCAATGTGATGGGTAAAGAAGAAATCTTGAGCATTGCGTGCCATATGTTGTCGCGCATTATCCTGTTGGAATATGGCTGATAGCAAGCGCTGAATGTATGGGAGGACCACGGGCTCCAACACCTCAGAGAAGTAGCACTGGTTTTTCAGTGTCCCGGCTAGGGATTGCAATACCGGACCAAAAGCTCAATACCGGTATTTTTTAGAACTATAGGTATTTTTTTTCATATTCGGTATTTTTTAGAACTTAATACGGGATACCGGTTTTAATACCGGTGTATTAGAAATTTTAGAAAAACATAGCTGTTTCTTTGTTTTATTTGCCAGTTTTATTAGTGAGTGTAAATATCACAAAAATTTAATTTGTAACTTATAAATTATAACAGTACATAAAGAATCACAAAAAATATAAAAGAACATCTCATTTGCTTAAATCACAAAAAGTGTAAATATCACTATTCAATTTGTGGTACAATTATAAATTTTTGAAATGTGATCGTAAAAAACACAATGCATCAATTGTACTGTTATTAAGCCTGGAACGAAACTTTGTGCAAAAATTACCTGCTGTCGAAAACGCTCTTTCGACATCTACGCTAGTTGGTGATACTGTTAGTAATGCGCAATAAGCTGTTTCAAAGTATTTTCCACTAAATTTCTCATCTTATGAAATAAATCGATTTCACTTCAGATTTTTTTTGGACATAGCTAACTTTTGCATTGCATTTTCTTTGTGGGATTTTTTTTTAGTTATCTCTAATTCTAATTCTTGTTCATGAGACAATTCCTTTTCACTATCGACATTAGTGTCATCATCATCTTCGATAATTGTACCGAATTCTTCTGAATGTAAATAGGTTTGTGTGTAAAAAATTTTACAAAAATTTACTATAAACTTGACCAAATTTGAATTGGTTTGTCTCTTTTCTACCTTTTCATTTTCAGTTTTAAAATCATTATAAGTATGATATGCAAATGCAACGTGAATAACGCGAAGACACCAATTTAAAAAAATTTCGAAATATTACGCCCTTTCTTCACAACTACAACCTTGTTTTCACAAATACGAATTTCAGACTACAAATCCTGCGCGTGTGCAGTATCGCTCTGAGCTGTAATTGAATATATTTGGCCCGCCTCCTTTGGTGATTCACATATTTTATCACTTCTTGATTGTATGATGTAACTTTATAATCACAGTCTAATTAATTTCACCCGTTAGGGAGACATAAAAACAAAAACGGATACTATTTTGCTATGTTGACGATCCCTGAACATATAGAGAAGACAATTTTAAAAATTTCTAGTAAGAACCGAAATACTGGTATTTTAATTTGTGAATACTGGTATTTCAAAATTTTACAAATGGCTCAAAATATCGGTATTCGGTATCCCGGTATACCGGCATTGCAGTCCCTAGTCCCGGCAATGCGTACTAGAGGGGTGCGGCAGTGAAATCCAATACCTCCCCAAACCATGATACCGGGTGCAGGACCAGTGTGGCGAGGCATAACACAACAGTTCAGCATGCCTTTCACCACGGTGTCTGCAAACTCGAATCCGATCATCATGATGTTGCAGGCAGCTGCAGGATTCGTCAGTAAACATAATGTCATTACATTCCGTTGTCCATGTCCGCCGTTCATCGCACCAACGATGGCACAATCGCCTGTGGTTTCCAGTCGAGGGTAAACGAAGCAATGGACGCCTTGTGGATATTCCACTCTTCTGCAAACGGGAAGAATGGTACGAGCGGACACCGAATGATGCCTAATAGATTGAATCTGTTGTGTTATGATAGTTCGTAATGTGATTGCGTGATTCATCACTGCCATGCGCACAATCCGCCTGTCATAATGGGCAGTAGTGCAACGAGGTGGGTCTGATAGGCCCCGTCTGTCCATCGTTTCCTCCTGCATTTAGCAACAGATCCGCCTCATAGTTGCTTGGTTTCGTTCAAAGCGTTGAATAATTTCTGTGAAACTTAACCCGCAATCCCTACAGGCTACT